AAGTAATATATATGAAAATAAATAAACATTCAAAATGTACGAGATATAATATAAAAATCTGTATTTTAACAAACAAGTTCAATAAACATAAAGAAAAAAAATGAAAGCAATTATCTTCCGTCTAGACCGATGCTTCGAACACCCATAAACGGGTTTCTTCTTGTTCTCTTCCCACTTTTTAATACCGAAATATTCATAGGTCGACCCAGGCTTGTGATATACGCCTTATGGCAATCATTTTATAATTGATTTTGACAAGTGATTTTATCAAAGCCTATTATCGTTTACTTATTCGAGGCATAAAAACTCGTAGGCATGGCAATGTTGTTCACACCTAATGACGAAAAATGACAAAACATTAGATTCAATCTTTGCTTCTTTGCGGCCCTTGAAACAGCAGCTATCACGTTCGTAAACTTATAAGATCTCCGCGACATAGAAGTAGAGCAAGAAAGACAGATAATATACGCAGCAAATATAATGTTTTAACGCTTGGCAGGTTGAAAACTTTCCATAATTCACATCGATCAAAAAGATAAACATGTGATCACATGTTATAAATATTTCCATATATTATACATGCGAGAGTAGCAGAACAATTGAAATTTTGAATAGCCCTTAAAAGACGAGCGTTTCTCAGCTAAAATCGAACAAATTTAATTATCATAATTCCGTGTATTAAGCGCATTCTTCTCTACCTTGGTTTTTGAAAAGTATTTATAGCAATTGTTTTCAATCGAAAACCTGGATGAAGGGAAACGCTTAATCGCCTAACTCTAAATCCCTGCTTAGGCCTTTAGGGGAATGTTGAAAACGTAATCGAACAAACGCATTCATCCCCAGAGCAAACAATTTATACTAATTGAAAGCCACCTTGATGCATTAAGTACGAAGAGATCAATCTAACATACCACCGTTTTTTGATAGGATTCGAAAAAAAAATTCTGTCGCTTAAAGTAAACTTGAATATTATAAATTAAATTTGAATGTTTACAATTAAAAAGCAAAGGAACAAAAAAAAAAAAAAAAAACGACAACAACAACAACAAAAGTGAAAAGCAAACACAAGAGAACTTTAGATAACAAAAATTATAATATGAGTAGAATTTCGGCCACCCTTCATTAGACACATTTCAAGACGAAGACCCTCCATTTTAATTATTTTGAAAATAATAATTGTAGAGATAAGAAAATGTTTTCAACAAATTGACTGCATCAGTCCATACCACACACATAATTAAGAAGAAGAATGTAAGTCGACGCAACTACAACCTCGAGTAATAAACCTAGATCAGCATTCACTCTTGATTGTTGCGCGCCGACATGCTTTAACAATTAGTAATTAATGATAATATATATATATATATATATATATAATTTTTGAAAGCAGAGTAATTATTTCACTAATTTGCAGTAGAGTAGAGAGTAGAGAGAAACCACCATTTGACTTAAACGCTATCGCATCTCGTAGTTCACTTTTAATATATAAAGTCTTCGTCAAGCGAAAAAAAATAGATTCTGCAGATTAAAGGAAAGTGGGCAGAAGTAAATTGACAAGCTAAGGAAGATTTACAGAAATTCCAATTATTGGGAAGGAAAAAAGACGATATTTATCGTAGAAGCTTTACAAACAATTGTAGCGAATTATTAAAACCGAAGGCCTTTGTTGTTAGGTCAATCCAATGATGTTGATCTGTTTAACCATACGTTCTCTGTTGTTACAAGGTTTAGTAGGCATAGTAGGCCAGTATTAAACAGAAAACACTTACATATATATGATTGATTGAAACCGACAAAGGGCGGCGGGCGGCCACGACCACTGGCCTACCTACTAACTCCTAAGGACTACATTCAAGTAAAAATATACTTTCAACTTTCCTTCCTAAATTCTAGGTTATTGAGCAGTTCTCCAGTAGGCATATGGAATGACTTTTTTTCATCATTTTTATTCATACGCGTAGACTGACCTATTTCATCATTGCAGACAAACAATATATATATATATATATATATATATATATATATATATATACAAATGTGTTAATATATATATATATGCATACATATAGTTTTTAAAACGTTAGAAATTAAATGACAAAACGTTTATATTAACGTACCGCAACCCTTGCTATACACAATCAACCTACTTTACATGGACAAAGTCTAAGAAAATAGTTACTAACTTGAACATAGCTTTTTCTTTTTTTTTAACGTGACGTAGTAAATTGAAATTGAGCAATTAACGGGCATTATCGTTACAATCTTTAGAGGCACCGACACTATATACGTTACTTCTCTATGACTTTTATCACTATTTAGAAAATTAAACATTTACGAAATCAATTATTAATTTTACATATTAATATGTATTTATAGAAATAAGCCCACCGTATAAAAATGTTTTTGCTTCTCACACTGGAAAATTTAATCGCGATATTAATGTTAGTGAAATACTCTGTTAAAATTTTATTTTGTTTTTTTTACTAATCTGAAATGGAAGCATTGAAATATTAAACGTGACAAAAGTGACGAGTTATATTACCCACGCGGTAGTAGCAATTAAAAATACACATCAGATACGCAATAAGGTCTTCATCTATGTATGATTCTGGATTGACTTATCGAAGCACGCGCTTTACTTTTACACACACACACACACACACACACATTCCCATTTAAAGATAAAATTGCAAACTTTGTACATCTATTCTTGATTTTTATAGCCTGCTCTATATAAAATACTAAACAAGCCTCGGAAATAAAACTTCATCACATTTTCATTACCAAATGCGATCGTGTTATCATTAAAATTCTCAAAGATAGTCCTCTCGTGTGTTGTCGCGTTTTTGGCGCTCGTATCAAACCATAGCATTGCTACCATTATTTGAGTCTCCGACAGTTGTAAGCAGTTAACTTGGCTCGTCATATCAGCATCACACTGATCTTGATCGGATTGCACCATTGTGTAGAACGAATAACTTAAACTCATCCAAACCTAAAGGTGTTACAATAACACAATTTGACACTAGCTCTCTGCTTGACGTTAAGCTGTGAGGAGCGAGGATTGAGATGGTCAATGTAGTGACAAATCTTGGATTTAAAGTAAATTCTTTTTTTATAGTTCAAAAAAATGCGTAGTATTTTAAGGAGCCTATGGCTTTCCTTGGCCTTTGTTCCCATTGAAACCTGAAACTTAAGCTTGATTACGTTTTTCGCTGTTCCGTTAATATCATATGGAGCTAATATACGCGGAAATCTCGACTATGCTCATACTCCAAGGGGCGGTAAGTAGGCATACGAGATATGTTTACGGTAAACGTAAGTAAAATACGATACCATTGTATGTACTCCTTAAACATTTTGAACAGCAATTTACCGACTTAGTTATGTACCAGAAACTTCATTTTTATTTATAAGATCTTTCACACCTATATTGCGAGGTATGTGTGCGAGAAATGTACATGCATCTTATGTTGCCACACCACAGACATCTTCCGTCTACTGTATGTTGGTACAGTAAAAATATGGAATTCTTTGCTTACAAGTATTAATTTAGTAATTAGCACGCGGAAGTTTATCACCTAAGTTAACGCCTTCTATAACAAAGCGGATTGTCCTAATCTGATTATATGTACCATGTCAAGATATCACTACTGACATATCGTATGGATGATCTGGAGATTGTCTTCTTCTTTTCGTTAGACATTATTACCTCCCTTACGTTGATATTATCTTAATATACTTATACTTATACTTATACACTTAAGAGTTGCTGCAACATTAGGGAGATTAGTTTTCTGGATTTCAAAATTTTAAATAACCTGTTCTTTGTTTTAGATTTATTCTTTTCTTTGAATTCACAATTATTCAACCAATCATAGTCAAAATCATATTTTTCCTGAAATAGTAGTAGTAGTAGTAGCTGTAGTAGTTCATGCGAATCGAAGGCCATCGAAAGGTATCTCCTAATTTTTTTGAACATCTGCTTTAATATGTCTATGTGTATAATATATTATCATGACGAACTCTCTTAGGACTTATGCTGAATTCCAAAATCGGTTCTCATAGTCTATTAAACTCACGAAAGCATACACATTCGATCAAAGCCAATCTACTTACAAAATATGCAATTTATTTATATTAGCTTCACTATTTGACCTAGAAAGTTGGCAATTTTTCTTATGCAATCTTGAGTTTTAATTTCGTGTAGTATTTTTTTTTGCAGTTGTTGCTTGATAAGCTAAACAAGATAATACAGCTTGACAAATGTGTATATTTTCGTCCAATAAAGAATTTATTGTGCCTATGCATAAAGTAAAATGCAACGAAACGATTGAATGCAACTAATTGAGAAAAAGTTTCTGCTCGTTTTGTGCAGAGATCGTGAAATTTGAGAAAGAAAGAGATAGACGAGTCGAGCCCCCATATTTTATAGCAGTTTTTGTAAGAAAACGGCAAATTGTGAGAATTACACCAACGAACCAGTGTAGTGAAAAGCAAGAGAAGAGCTAAGAATTCCAGAAACAATGAGAGCGAGAGTATTGCAATTATCAGAACAAATAAGTGTAAAGAAGACTATAGAGCAGCTTAAGGCCAAGCCTCCAAGGTGATAAAGACAAGTTTTTTTTATTTTTTTTTTATTTTTTAATTAATAACAAGAAAAAAAGGCGGCTTTTAAAAATGCACCCGCATGCATATACAGTTGTAGATTAGAAAGGAAATACGTAATGACTCAGACATATGCTCAGAATACGCAATAATAATGCAAGTAGATACAACGACACAGTTCAATCTCCCTGCATGAATTGCGTCATTCGGTCTTGTAAAACTAATGAAACGATTAAAATGTGTTAATTTTAATAATTGTACATATTTGCGAGGTGAACACAATTCTGCGCCTGTCTAGTCTAGTGTTTTCGCATCTACACATGCATGCACTTTTTCTTGCACGAATTTACAAAACTTTTCCTAAAGCGTGGTTACATAAATTCTCAGCTTACATAAAAAAAGACTCCAATAAGATTTTATGGCTGCACAAATTTAAATAGGAAATTTTTACCACTTTTTTAATACAATATAAATTCGCGTAGTATTACACAACTTGAGCTTCTTTTCGCACACAAACGTCACTTGACCTCGTTAAAATTTTTTCAATGAATTGTTCAATATAAGTGAATGTTTGCAGCTCTTATTGTTATAAGTCTTTCAAGTTTTTTTTTTTTTTCAACTTTTTCCTACAGATTTTGATAATTTTTTTTCTACAGATTTTACCTGAAAACGTCGAATAGCAATCACTTTAACTCACTTTTGCAACAAATAATGCTGTTAGTGTTGCCAACGTTTATTAATGTTGCAATTGTAAAATGTTCTAAACAGGAGAAATTACGGAGATCACTTTTAAAATTCATTGCAATTTTTGGGAAAATTAGGAAAAATAAAATATTCTCTATAGTACGGTAAACAATTACATTGATATTGGTAAAATTTTTAAAAGCTTACTTATCAAAAAATGTGACATGAAAAACGCAATATTTGTTATATAAAGAAGTTCGTAAATAGAAAACTTTTATTGCATAGTTAAGAAAGGCAATGCCAGATTAAAACTTTTAGTTGAAATAATGTCGTTTGTTTGCGAAAATTGAAAACCGAAGGAGTAACGTAATCTCACAAATAATAGGGCTTGCGACAAAAATAATGGAGCTTGCGACAAAAATAATAGGGCTTGCGATATATATATATATATTATATATAAATAAATAGAATAATTTTTGTCCTTTTATTTGACATCTTAATCAGTGTAACCGGAGGAGATCAACGAATGTTTCAAATAAGTTTTCAACGAATTTATTAAAAATGAATTGACTCATTAAGTCAATTTCTCGTAAACTTTTTGCTGACGTTTAAGATTATTCTATGGCCTTTGTGAGTGTTGTTGTGAGTAATCTCATTATAATCCTTTTAATCCAAATTAATGAAATTACAAAATAATGGGAAGACGAAATTAGTTGCATGCAATGAGTCAGGTAATATTTATTACAAAAGCATCTACAAAAATGTTCTACATGAAACAGGAACATATTGAACATGGCGGGAATGTCTGTTAAAATCGAACTCGTGTAGATAATTTGTATAACCTTAAGTTTTGCCTGGAGGTAGTAAATATCCGATAGGGAGAACTTTACAGAAGAACATCTACGTAAAAAATGTTGATTTAAACTTGTCCAGGTTCTGATAAATGGTAACATAAAGTAGTGCTGATACTATCTTACCATAAACTTCGTTTATTGTCATTAGACATATTGTAGTTATTTTATATCAATTCCGTCTCTAAACAGCTTATCTAGTATACAAAATAATTGATAAATAACGCAGGTAGAGAACCTAAAAGGGCCATATCGAAAGGGAACCTTCTGTCAATCGTTGATCCTAATGCATATACAATGCTCTTTATAATCTTGTATAATTTTGTAATAATGATTATTAACAACATCTACAACTATATATATGAAATTATAGTATAAGCTTTGCGATGCTTTTTTTGTAAGGATGGCCGATTTTATGGCCGGCCTAACGAAAAAAAGCATTTTTTTCCTTAACATTGATTATTTACCAATTTGTTGCACTTAGTTCATCATTATCGCATGGACTGAGTGTTTATGCAACTTGTTTTAAACAACAATTCAAAACTAGATACGTTCAGTTAAAGTTATGCATTCATGTATATGGCCAGTAATCTGTGTGTACGATCGACCATCAATTGCTTTAAAACAAAAACAAAAATGTTGCCTTGCATATGATTATGGTGCGAGCACCTAAAACAAGTAACAACGTAACAACACATTCGCAAAGAAAGTGAATACGTATGCGTATCTATGCACTTCATTATTTATCTATCTGCGCGTAGGAAAAACAAGAAAGAAGTTATATTCGGCTTGGGCCGAATTTTTTGAAACCCAGCATTTGCTCATTTTGCTTCCTTTTTTTTTTTTTTTTTTATTCAATCAAAGAAATTCAAAAATATTGAGTAATAAACCGTTAAATATGCTAACATAATATATATGAGAAAATGAAAAATGAAGACCAGCTATAGCAGGCAGCTGTCGAAGGCCAGTGAAATTCAAGTTCAGTAAAATGCGTCTAGCCGTAACTATCTGGCATGTTTCGGCTTTCAAGTTCTTCTTTGTTGTCCTTGTGGCAACAAAACAAAGCGAAAGAATTCGCCATTAATTTCGCTAATTTGAACTGAATGGCAATTTAAGTCTCTTCTAAGTACGTGGGTGCTTCGATGTGTACGCCAAAGAATGATGTGACAAACTTAATATACTCGAGACTCGATGGACATAAGAAAAAAAAAGATAATCTTTTTGCTGAACTTGAAATCTCGTAATGATGACTTTGGAAAAATGTGTAAAATTTCATTTTCATTCGTTATAAAACATTAGAGTAAAGAGGTCGCTTACTAACGGCTTTTCATTTTTATTTCTTTCATTTTTCTTTTATTTTTATATTATTGCGAAAATCTCATAAAAATGAAAATTATACAATTTTCATTTATTTACATAACAGTTATAATAATTGTTGAATACTTTTGCATTCAAGTACAAAGTTTCAATTATCGTTACGATAAAGTATGAATTTTGTAATTTGATTCTTTTGTTCGCTTAAGTGTTTATTGTTTTATAAATTTTCTTTCAACTCTTAAGAAAACCAAGTGTTTAAATCCTCCACGTACAGCTAGACGTGTTGAGAATCACATTAAAGGTTGCCAAGAAGAGGTTAAAACTAAACTTATCCAAGGTGACAGAGAAGCAATAAAATTGAAGTTAACAAAAAACAAAAAAAAAAAAGAAGTTTTTTCGCAAATTATTTTCCTTTTTTCTTTTTTTTTTTTCTTTTGCAGAGGCTTTTAAAATATTGAAAAATGAAGTTGCTCAGGCGCAAGGCCCAATTAATGTTCATAATAATGATGATGATGATGATGATGAAGGCGGCTTGATATATATGGAGACATTGGATTCAGTAATGAAAAATGATGATAAATATTGGCCTCATGATATGAATGAGGAGTACGTACAAGGGGGTGGGGAAGGGGGAGGGGGAGAAGATGTGCAAGACAATTTTGGTTACATATCATATCAGGATACGCCACACAGACGTATGGCGCGTTTAATACAACGCATCGGCCGTGTCGATGATATATCAAATGGTATTTATCATCCAACTTTAGTGCCATTCGAAGACAAGCGCATAGCAGGGGTAAGTATTAATCTGAACTATTTTGAAACTGTTTTGAAATAATAACTAAAGTAAGACATACTGGTAATCAATCAATGCAATAAAAGACAAACTTAGCCTTGCGCAAAAAGTTATATACAATTTTAACATTTTCTTAAATAATTATAAATATTTCATTCATAACTTTTATCTAAAATCTTGAAAATGCAAAAAAAAAAACAACTATTCAATTAGTTATAATAATTAATTAAAAAAAAAAAAAAAGGAAAAAAGAAAAAATTAGTGGAAGCAAAGAAAATCTTCAGTTTAGACCGAATCATTTAATACATGACGACATGCTATGGTAGGGTAAACCTTTCATTATACATCAGTGAATGCCAAAATTACATTCGATTAAATAAAGACCAGAAAAAAAAAAAAAAAATTATTTGACATAAGCTATGTCAGCGCATGATTCTATTCCGTAGCTGTAAAATAATATTTGTGATCTTTTTACGAGGGAGACTCTGAGGTGTTTTCTTCGTTTGCTTCTGTTAAACTTTCCTCATTCAGATATATATATATATATATATAAATGTACATAGTATATACTAGCTTCGGTCAAATATTATTACAATTTTTTCGGATTAAAGTTCGCGTTTGGTTACAACAAACTTACGTTCATTCGGGCTCCAATCGAAATCTTATAATGTTTTATAAGAAATTTTCGATATTTATGGACACCATACAGAAAAGCTTTTGTGCGGGTATACTTGACAGTCTTGATGAACCGGTGATGACAGCTAATTGCTGTAATCTCTACGTACGTTTTCAATAAAAGTGGAAAGAATGGGATGTTGTTTGAGAGATCATCGCAGCATGATAGTCATAGGCAGCGAGAGATATGATCGAAAGCAAAAATGAGAAATGATATGAAAACAATGTTCAGTGAACGGTTAAGTTATTGCTAATAATTGAATTAAAAGATAAAAGATAACTGACAAATAATCTAAAACATGATGAAGAAAAGAAAGAAAGGATGAGAAGAAGGGAATAATCCAAAGCCTTAGAATTAGGATCTTTAAGTTAGCCCTATATATACATAGTAGATGTTCTTTCAATTTAATTCGTTAAAAATGCAAAAAATTAAAGTTTCAAGTTTAAATTGAAAACATATACCCATACAGGGATTCGATATATATATATTTAAGAGTGAGTTATAACATCTTACTACATTTTAACATACACGCGTTGGTAAAGTGAAAAGATTATCTAAAAAAGAAAAAGAGACAGAAGATTTAGTCAACTGCGAGCGAATCTGGCTTGTTTACGACATTTGATTGATTGCATGCAAGATAAATGGAATATATATATTTCAGTCAAAGTTTTCTACAATTTTTGGCAACAGTTCGTTTAGTTGCATCAAGTTGGGCAGATGAACCACTTATCAGACTAAATTCGTTTACGGATTTGATGCGAATATTTAAGTAAAGAAAAGTTTATTGCATCTCAAGAATATAAATTGATTTATATCATATTATATTATTCGTATATTTTTGTGAAAGCGAAGACACGAACCTAAATTCAAAATTTTCTCGTCACAATGATAAGGGAAAGTTCGAAACTTTAGTTAATTTTTTTGCAACAAATTTTTTGAGATTTGGTTAACGATTTCAAAGATCGGATCCGACAAACGGATATGTGTTATTCTTTTCTCCTCTTTGATCGAGAATTTATATGTGCCTTACAAATATTTGAAAAAACTAAAGGCTAATGAATATACAAGTAAGTATGGAAAAATTATAGCGATAGTTTAGGCAGATTGTAACTACCTACCAATTCAGGTAAATGTGTAAAGATTGCATTAATACTGGACGTTGCTGTTGCTATTTACCTTTCATGGATAGACATGGCTTTTCTACATATATCTTTTGCTTATTCAATTTTTAGAATTTAATTAAGAGCTATACTACGTTCTATACACAACCGATCATAGACAGGACATAGAGAGGACATATGGACAAATATCGATAAATTGATATGAAATGTCAAGTTAATTTTAAATATGATTCCACTATACAAGCGTAATGATAAATTTAACATGTATTCCGTTGATTCGGTGATGTGCAAAGAAATATTCATAATTAACAATGAAAATTAACTATAAACATAATCTATTATCTTGGCATCATTTTGCGTAAAACTTTATACAAGCGATTGTGTGGCATTGTTTAAGCAAATTTTGAGGTTGCATTATGCAATGAAATGCGAATTCCAGGAGTTATTTGAAAAGCACTTTTTCCTATCCACCTACACTCTTTGATTTACAAAAAAAATTTCTCATTTATATATGATGAAAAAAAAAGAGCCTTTTCAGTTCAGCTTGAGCGTAGAATAAAAATAGAAAACAGAATGGTATTTGTATTCAAATTGAAAACGTCGAGTAATTAAACTCAATGACATTTGGGCATCTAGTCAGCCACCCGCGAACAATAAAAATGAAAACATAAAATTTTGTTAACAATTAAATGAAAAAAATTCAAAAAAAGAAAAAAAAAAAATAAAAATAGTAATAATAATAATAATAATAAAAAAAAAAAAAAAAATGTCTAGTGAATAAAAAGAATCAACACAAACATGCACAAAAAATGCATATTTTAAAAATTATTACAAAAAAGGCAAACATATACAATAACACAAAGTCAAGGTAAATGATTAAATCAAATGGCTTCGAACCGCGTATACCTAGAAACAAACGATATTATAAATATAAACAAAAAAAAAAAAAAAAACAAAAATTCAATACTGTTTTATATTTAATTTTTATTTCAAGTAATTTTTCATTTGCAAGCATATTTTTAATTAATTTTTTTTTTTTTTTTTCTTTCAACTCTTATGTCTATTTTGAATACCTATCGCACGTATTATGCTGAACTTTGTTAACTCTCCTTGAATTGAAGGGATCTTCGACAATAAATAAAACTGAAATAGTTCGAGTTATCTTCTTATTATCTTATATTATCCCATAAAATGTTATACGAATGAGAAATCTTCCTTCACGTTTCACGTGAGTATCTGTTATCAACTTTGCCTCATGGTGCCCGATGACACGCGGGTTAATTTTGCGTAACAGGCACCCTCCAGAGCGTTAGACAAATTCCTGTAAGCTAGGGGCGTGAACTGCACAGGAGAAACGAAAAATCATATCATTATTATGTATGGCCCAATAAACTCGCTCTAGGGGTATGTCTGGCGAGGCCTATCATTACCTCTTAATTATTCGTTTTGGAAATGATGAAAACCACTCACACATTGGTCTGCAGCACATCAATGCTGTCACCTCTACCCGCAGGTACTTGTGACCGCCGTGGAGGTTAAATTTAGACTTTAAAGCCTTAAGCCATAGTCATTCTTGCCTTCGGATCAACCATACAATTCCGGCTATCCAGACCATTCACCACGCCATCCATGCTTCAAAACATATGTGTATCGGGTGCTACACCTAACATGCTAAGCTCCGTGCTCTCGACCATTACTATATCAACGTACTTTACATAAACAGACGCAAAACAACAACGGCTGGTTTGTATTTCCTTCGTAGCAATAGCAAGCTTCTTCCAGCGTGTCCCAAAGCTATCCGTCACAAAACTTGTCACCAAGTTATAAATAGTTCAAGCCTTTCTCGTTAGTCTGCAGACACCGGGAAGTCTCTCTACCAGCTATTGACTCGATTGGCGAGGAAGAGAACCAGAGAATTTGAGAAGAGACACGTGTACGACCTCTCTGTTACAATTACTGCTTAGGCATCATCACTATTGAGACCCGCAACTTTGAGAGAGAGTCATAGTTACTTTCGCCAAAAAAATATACTTCTACGAATTGCGTTAATTTTTTCATTGTTCCAAGGCCTGTGAACACTAACGACATTCGATTGAGGGCAAACAAGAAATTATATTCAGCCGTTAACATGTCGACATAGGATAGAAGGATTATTGATTCGCTTGTTATATATAACACTGTACGCTGTATATAAATTAAATCAGATTTTTGCATAATTTGGTAGCATCCATCAGTTAGATAGACCTAACCCTAGTACTCTACATTTCATTATCAGACATAAAGAGAATTCAAAGACGAGATTTCTGACTGAACCTTCCCTCTCACATATCGCGATTCGTGTGTGTAGTAGTCGTCGTACTGTGTTATCTACGAATTATATTTTTATACGATTTGGCAGCATTGCATGTAACCACACATCTATTTGCATATATTCCCTTGTCGTGCTGTTTAGATATCATAAGAAGCTGTCACTCACTTGAAGCAAATAATTATCGAATTTTTTTTTGTAATTGCAGACCGGATTGATTTATTTGATTATCGGGCTTAATATAATAATGGTAATGAGATTATAAATATGTTTGTTTTTCTAAATAAACTTTCGAGGTCTTTTACTTTCTGCAGGCGAACAGACAAACAGATGTGGCTGCAAAGGCTATTTTCTAATTGCTTATATAAACTATTACGGAAATTTCTTTCTCTTTTGCTGGCTATCATTAATATTCCTTAAATTATGCTCCAGCACCGCTAGAATGTGAATCTAAAACAGAGTAGACTTTGTCAAATGATCAATCTGTACGTTTCCAATTGTTGTTCTATGCGATGTTTTTTAATACCCTACACCATTTGCGGGTGTATCAGCGCAGGTTCGCGTCGGCGATTATTGTAAACGCTTTAAGATTATCTGTCTGTTCGTCTGTCCGTCTGTCCCTCTATCCATATATCTCTTTTTTCAGTTTACACGGCGCAATATAACAAATGTTGACGTGTTTTGTTCCAACGGCAAGAGCTATTGAAAATGATCTGAATCGGATCTCTTTTCAAGCCATTAACCATATAAAGTTTCAGTTTTGAAAAAGCGTTTACGTGAAAAAAGTGTCAATTTTCAAAATTGCACGACAGTAAACGCTAAATGTCGCCATTTTGCCATATACTAAATTAAAGTGAAAAACTTGTATCGGGTAATTCAGTTTTTTAAATCCCACTTCCCCATATTAGTGTTCTTATGGGGAGTGAGCCTTTGTTTAGCCAAAAGTTGTAATTTTTGGGTATTTTATGATGAAAATAGGTGAAAGGCTCTCTCCTGCCCGCTCCTCTTTTTTTGCCAACAACATAAGGGCACCGATGAAAAGTATGTCTTTCCATGGAAATGAAGAGCAACTTCGGATATTTTATCACGAAAGTAAATACAAATATAAAAAATGTTCACTGAAGTGGTGCAGGTAAATTTAATGATCGGCCTTCTCTGACTGTAATAATTGTACTTGTTGCATTATGCTATTACTTCGCGTAAATATATTCCGTTCCATGTCTACGCTGGCGTATACTATATAATTGTATTGTCGTGTAAATAATTACCAAAAAATATATGCTTGTCTTAAACAATATATTTTTATTTTGTTTCCTAGTGCCTGCTGCATTGTGTTTATGCAAAAAACAATGCTATTGATAAAATGGGCTGGCCTACCCTGGATGGTTTAGTCGATTTTTATTCGGAGGGCGTTAACGAACATGGCTTCTTTATGGCTACTTTGCGTTCAGTTAATTTATGTTTAAGAGCTGTTACCAATAAATATCATGTTGATCGTCATAAATTGCCCGAAAAAGGTGAAAGTTGTGATTTAGCTTTCGATGTATTCGATTGCATATCAGATCAAATAACTGGTTATTGTATGGATCATTATAAGCCATGAAATATTTTAAGTAATATTGCAATTATTATAATTTATAAATATTTATTAATTTTATAAGAAATACAAATAAAAAATAAAAAAAAAAAAAAAATAAATAAATAAATCTACCTATACCGATAAGGTCTTAAATATTTAAGTGCAGTCTATGAAAGAAATTTTGGGAAATTTCTACACAAGAGTTTGCCCTGATGAAGAGACAAGAAAGAGTAATGAAATGCATTATTGCTCATCTAGGTACTTTTGTTGCGATCCCTTTTTCAATTTGTCCCAAATTTTGTATTTCCAATGAAATTTTTTTCACAACAGACAGCTTACGTATCCGTTCGCTGCATTAGTGTTTGTTTCCAAGACATATCTCATCACGTTCTGAATCTGCTCGATCCATTTGCCATCCGATTAAGGCTTCATAAGTAATTTCTAGAAGAAAGCATTCAATGCGTTTACGAGAAAAGCTAATCAAGACTGATGTAATAATTAGATCGAATAAAGGGTAAGCGAGAGAAAGAGAGAAACAGAGAGAAAGAGACGGAGAGAGAGAGAGAGAGAGAGAGAGAGAAAGAAAGAAAGAAAGAAAGAGAGAGAGAGAGAGAGAGAGAGAGA